TTTATGTCACATTTGTAATACAGTCTTCCTTTTTATTTGTCTTGTAAACTTAAATATTTTCCTAAATTGAACTCCTAACGTCTTACTATCACAATTTCTCTTTATTTATCAATTCATCACTCACTTTTCTAGACTCATCTATTTTTTTTTACCTTTTAAAATTTAGGATTGAAAAATACTAAAAAAAATGACAATATGTTTTTTATTTGTCTTTATTTTTAAAAAATCGCATCAAATAAAAAGACGAGAGTCCCCTTATTTTAAAAAAAAAAAAATCGCATCAAATAATGTACTGGAGAGTAGAAGTTAGTAAGATAGGACCCATGGCAGCGGTGACTGGAAAGACGTGATAGAGCGTGACCATAATAAATACGGAGTAAATGAAGCAATTCGTTTTCATTCATACGGAGTAAATATCTTACTGCTACTTTATGCTCTCCAGTAACCAAACCTCTGTTCCAATCTGCACCCGCAGCTACTCTGCAGTGGTCTAAAGCTAGTTGAAGCATAACCCAGAGGACAAGTGAAAATATTATGGATGAAAAGTACTTTTTTTTTTTTATAAATATGTCGGACTCACGCTCTCATAATCCTGGAATCTATGAACTACTCTCCAAAGCTTGTAGACAGTTAAATCCGGATCTGATCAGGACTGACTCCAAAGGATGAATCCATCAGGACTCACATCACCTTTCAGATTGCTCCTCCCACCACACGAACCCGCTACCTTCATTATCATCCTCTCCCTTCTCAGCCGCTGAGCGGCTCCGTAAAGGTAGGAAGAATCATTGAGAGCAAGAACTCCCTCATCTTTCCTTGGTGGGAATTGAATCTAAGACCTCCACAAAGGAGAGATTTGAGGGTGGATCATCATCCATTGAACTACGCCCACCAACTCCACGAAAAGTACTCTTAAAACTCTTAAAAGTCACTTTCTAATGAAAAATATACTACGTATATAAATCTGGCACTCATGCAATTTACTAATTTTGGTCATAAATAAGAATGCTGCAAAAAGAATAGTATGAGCCAAGTGGATGTGTACTTGGACTGATGGCCATTCTGTACATGTAAGTTGGAATTACTACTAAGTTTTGGTGGTATCTTAGACCAAGTTGAGTGATTTTCTCTTCCACCCCTAGATAGAGAAAAACATGGGTCCATTGAGCAATTTTTTTCTTACCAATTTGTATGACAGAAGTAAAAGTTGAGTTTTTTTCCGGATTAATATTAATTAATTAATTAATTACTGAATTAATGTTGGGTTAAAATTATTTACCAATATAATGCTGGCTTAACCCTGGTCGGGAAAAGTCACCAAATCGACTTATAAGTCGCCAAATAATTTGGCGACTCTTTACTTAATAATCCCTACGGTCCTAAATAAACTTTACACTTTGACTTCACACAAATTAAGGAAATAAATTTGACTTTACTGTAGAGTCCACTGTTGTGACAATGTTTGACATTGTTTGGCACTATTTTGCACTGTTTTGATGTAGATAATTTGCCAAATAAGGAAGGGAGAAAAAGTGTGAAGTTTATTTAGGACCTACCCAAAATAAAAAGTGTGAAGTTTACTTAAGAAAGAACAATGAACATGCTTACAAGGAGGCTAAGGAAAAGGTGGGGCCAAATTAGAAAAAAATCCTCTTTTTTTTAAATGCCTATAACTTTCATATTTTTCTTCCAATTTTTTTAAAACATATACCAAATTTTATAACTCTTTGTGATCTTTCATATGACACCAATATGTAATATATAAAGTTTAAAAAAAATCTGAAGACCATATGGGGTGAAAAACAAATTGCAATTATGCACCGTCAATCAATTTAATTCTCAACCAGTTTAAACCAAAATTTTTACTTATGTGATCGAATCCTCATATCAATTCAATTTTTAATATATTTACCAAATATAGTTTTTACTTAAATTCTTACACTTTTTAATCTACATCACCTTTTAACCAAAAAAAATTTACGAAAATATGAGGATTCGATCACATACAATTCTTTACGTTCAATTTTTAAATTTCTAATTTGGACTTTAGACACCCTTTGTTATAACTGAAAATGAGATCATTATACGCAGGGGCAGAGCCAGGACACTGGGCTGGTACAAAGAATATTAAAAAAAATACACAGAATTTTTTTACACTAAAAATATAGGCATTTTTAAAATTTGGGCTGGACAAGGGCTGGCCATCACCTAGCTACGCCCGTGATTATACATATAATAGTATAGCTTTTAAATTAATATTTGACAAAACTGGTTAGTGCAAAATAATTAGGGCGACCCATGACCTATTAATTCAAAAAAAAATGCATTGAAATGTTTTATATTTTGAACTTAAAAATTGAGCGTAAAGAACTGTATGTGATTGAATCTTCATATTTTCGTCAAATGTTTTTGGTTAAAAGCTGATGTAGATTAAAAAGTGTAAGAATTTAAGTAAAAACTATATTTGGTAAATATATTAAAAATTGAATTGATATGAGGATTCGATCACATAAGTAAAAATTTTGGTTTAAACTCGTTGAGAATTAAGTTGATTGACAGTGCATAATTGCAATTGGTTTTTCACCCCATATGGTCTTCAGATTTTTTTAAACTTTATATATTACATATTGATGTCATATGAAAGATCACAAAAAGTTATAAAATTTGGTATATGTTTTAAAAAAAATTGGATGAAAAATATGAAAGTTATAGCCATTTAAAGAAAAAAGATGATTTTTTTCTAAATTGACTCCACCCCTTCCCTTAGCCTCACGCATGTTCTCTATATGAAGTAAAGAGTGTCAAATGGTTCGTCGACTTATAAGTCGCCAAACGATTGGGCTACTTTCGCCGACCAGGGTTAAACCAGCAGTATATTGGTAAATAGTTTTAACCCAACATTAATTTCATAATTAATTAATTAATTAACACTAATCCAAAAAAACTCGTAAAAGTTTAGGAAAAAATTATTTGTACACGTTTGATGGATAGGTGTACCCGGGGGGTATATATCCGAGGGGTTATTGCTGAGAATAACTTAGAGAGAAGTCAGAGCATAAATAAATAAGAGAGAGTGTATTCAGTATGAATGTCGTGGTTTACAATGGGGAAAAGGGGGTGCTATTTATAGTAGCAATAAATGCCGGACAGGGACACGTGTCAAGCATCCATTGGCCGAGAGGTCGCCTCATCTGGTTGGCGCTGGCAACCGCATGTGGCCGCATTTAATGCGGCTGTTGGATGGGACGTTGTACAGGGTACGGTGATCTGTACGCGCGTGAAGAGGAGATCTTGTCGAGTGAGGTGCCTTCGGCTATAGAGCAGGAGCCGAGGGCTCCCTGGTGCCGAGGGCTCCCTGGTGCCGAGGGCTCCTGGTGCCGAGGGCTACTATTTTCGCCGTTTTCTCTCAGTTTCTTAGTTTGCTTGAGAAACCCGTTCTGTGAGAGTCTAGAGCCTTCGGCCAGGGGGTCGAAGGCACCCCTGGTGCGCTGTGGGCTGCTTGGCACTCCGGGCGCCATGTTTTGGACCTGTTGGGCCTGTTGGGCCTTTACTAGAGTAGTAGGAGTCTGTGGGCCGGGGGTTCCCGGGCCATATACTCCATCAGGAGTCCCTCACTCCTTTTGCCGAAAGGTATTTGAGGGAAAATGAGTAATTTGTGCTTGCCCTTTGATGTTGTCCTCTCGTAATCTCTGAAGTTGGTGAGGAGTTGTTGCTTTTATGTCACTGCCTTCGGCAGGGACAATAAAGTGGTCCTCCAGTCCCCCACTCCTTGAGGCACTTGTAAAGTGGTGAAAAGGAGTAGAGTAGTTGCGTTGCTGTTGTGGGCCGAAGGCTGACGCTTTTCGTTTCATTTTGGGGGGATGCCTCGTTAAAAACCTCATAAGGGAAAACCCTGTGGGAAAAAATCCTAATGACGGAAAAAGAGTGCACCAAATTCCCCCAACGATGAATCGAAAATGTGAAACCTTGGTCAAAAATGGAGAATAACGGTAATGCCGAAGGCTCTCTTTTCTGAGGGCTCATGTGTTGATTAGCCGAAGGCTTGCTGTTGATGTCCTGGGGGGTGCCGAAGGGGAGCCCCTCAATCTGGGGATCGAAGGCATGATGGATGAGGGCAGTGATTGAATTGTCGCCGGGGGGTCCCCTGCTTGCTGGTTAGTTGGTGATGAGGATACCCGAGGGCTCCCATTACCTGTGTGCTGTAGGCTATCCGTCAAGGAGGCATACTCCCCGGGGGCTACCCCGCCCTCACAATGCAAAGGGGGAATCCCCGAGGGGTGCTCTGTCATGAAGCCTTGAGCTTCTGAAGGAATGATCCCGAAGGCGTCTGTTATGTGCTGTGTGGGGCACAACCCGGGGGCGTCTCTGGGTAAGTGTACCCGGAGGCTCTCCTTGATGGAGTGGAGCGAAGAAGAAAACCCGGGGGCTTCTAGAATATAGCCGTTGGAAATATAGCCGTTGGAATACGTATCGTCGGGATATAGTCGTTGGGGGAGGAGGACACGTGGCGCGTGACGGTTGGCTGCCCGTGGGCGGCGTCACCGGTTGGGTGAAAACACGGCACGTAATGATGACGGTCCGTCCGGAGGCCCGGTTTCCGGGCCCAAGCCCGGATCTCATCGCCTATAAATACCCCAGAGCCAGAGTCATTTCTTCTTGCGCGATCACCTGTCTTAGCGAAGCTCTGTCGGAATTTTTCTAGAGAGAGAAAATCACCCTCGATCAAAACTCAGCTTTCAAGGTCAGTGTCCTGCTTTCCTCTCAAAACTTTTAGTAAGTTCCGCCCTCTGGGCTTAGATTAGGGTTAGAGTCCTGTAGAAAGCCTTCGAAACCTCAGGTGCATACTTTGTCAAAAATGTCGTCCGCGAGCGATTCCCAGGACATCTCGAGGGACCCCTCGGTTCAGGACGAGGTTGCTTCTGATGTTGAGTCAACTAGCAGTGCGCCCTCGGTTGCTCATGACGAGGCCGTAGCCTTGGAGTTGCAGAAGGCCCTAGCTGCTGAAGTGGAAGCCGAGGGCTTCGAACAGGAGTGCGAAGATGAAGAATTAGCCTTCGTGTACCAGGTTGCGGAGGACGAAGCTCAAAAGGAGGCGATGACGGTCACTGTTGCTGTGCCACCCCCTCGAAATGACTGTGGTGAACCTAGTACCTCCAGGCCGTTGGACCCTACGCCTCTGAGGATAGCCCCCGGCAATAAAAGGAAGATGAAGTCGAAGAGGGCTGCCCCCAAGAAGAAGGGTGTTGCCGCTGGTGCTGGGGGGCCTGTTGAAATGCCAGAGGGGTATACCTGGCTAAATACCGAGGCCCTCGATATCAAGTCGAAGGCGGACAAGGCTGATTTGTTCTTTCACGCAGCTGCACGTTGGGCCCTCGGCCGAAGTGGTGGAGCCAGGCGTCGATGATTTGCTGTCCCGGCCACCCGAGGGATGTATTGCCGTCCACATCCTGTCGGTGTCAATGGGCCTCCGGTTCCCCCTGCACCCATTTCTCTGGGAGTACCTCAGGTTCGTTGGACTCATCCCTTGCCAACTTACCCCCAACAGCCATTCATATATTGCTGGCTTCCTGCACCTGTGCCGGACGAGGGATGTTACCCCAAGCTTTGACCTCTTCTTCCAAAGCTTCAACTTGTGCCGAGGGGGGCACGCGAATGCCGAGGGCTTCGCCAATTTGCAGCAGGTAGCGAAGTTCAAGTTGTTCACCGAGGCGCCCTCGTCCAACAAGGGCTGGAAAGACAGATGGTGCTATGTCCGGTTGGCCGAGAACCCCTTCCCGAGGGAGCTAAGGGACCGCTTTCGGCGCCACGAGAAGGTGGGGAGTATCGCCCTAGAGAAGGATGGCCTGAAACTCGCCAAGATCCCGGAGGGTCGGAAAAAGAACATAACCATCAAGGAGTGCACCCTCGAGGAAGACCTATATGCCCTCGGATTCCTGAGGTATCGGTTCATTGGGGAGACCGATGAGAAGTATCCCCTCTATGATAAATCCTTCGGGGGAGCAGGAGGTAGTGGCCGAGGGCTACGGCTTTTATACTTAGAATTTTTTTTGTCATGTTTGTCGTTGTGTCTCTGACCCCTCGGTTCTAACCTTTTAACTTGTTGTTGTCGTTCTTTGCAGGTAGCAAGATGAATGCCAATGCTCTGTTTGCAAAGAGGAAGGGCAAAACCCAGGCAAAGGAGAAGGGGCCCTCGGGCCAGAAGCCAGCCGATGCGTTTTTCCCGAAGGACGTAGAGCCTTCTGCTCAGGATGTCAATGCTGCTGAGGGGACCGGGGGGTCGAAGGCCGAGGCGGCCGTGAAGAAGAAGAGGAGTGGTAAGGGGGTGGAGCCCCCTACCAAGAAGCAGAAAGCCGCCGGGGGCGCTGTTGAGGGGGCGGCCCCCCTCATACTTATTGATGACATGCCCTCCACTGATGGGCCTCTGGCGTCGGCCACCCCGAAGGCTCCGGTGAATCTCCCCCCGGAGGAATTACCCCGGGAGATCCTTCAACTCTCCCTTTCCCCCGATGTTTCACTGATGCACGGTACTGCCGAGCCGAGGGCCTTCCTGCGGGGCATCACCTCGAAGATGGATAGAGAAGTCTTCGAGACATACGATGATGATGCCCTCGAGAATAGGATCCTCCGGTCCTCTCTCACTGTAAGTATCTGCTTCCTGTTTCCTTCTCTTATCAATTTAGTATTTTTTCTGGGGAATAATCTAACTCCTTTGATCATTGTTTGCAGGCCTGCATAGCCCTCGGGGAACAGGCCCGGAGGCGTGAGGAATGGCGCCTTCACGAGGCCGAGCAAGATAAGAAGATGGAGGGGCTGATTCGCAAGAACTCTGAAGCGATGAAGCATGCTGCGCGGCTGGAGGAGGCCCTCCAGGAGGCGAAGGCGGCGGCGGAGAAGGCCAAGGCCGATGGCATAGCCGAGGGCAAGGCAGAGGCCGAGAGGGTTGCTGCCGAGGCGGCGAAGAAAGCTGCCGATGAGGCCAAAACCGCCAAGGAGGGGGCTGTGGCCAAGGCCCGAGAGGAGGCAGTTGCTGAGCTCCTTGCCGAGGGCTGGAGGGCCGAGGGACATAAGGAGTGGGTGGCCTCCGTGGTGGCGGCCTCGGTGGATGCTTGGGTAGAAGGCCTCGGGGTTGACTGGCTGACAGATAGGGGCGACGCCTACTACCAGGGGGGTGAATTCTTTACCCAGCATCTGATTTACCGGAGGCTCGCCAGGCACTTTGGCGTATCCCTCGACCAATTTGACCCCTCAGCATACGGCCTCCCTCCATTGCAACCAGATGTGAGAGTTCCCCTCCCCCCGGGCGAAGAGCGGCCGACGATATACGACTCTGTGATGATGGGGGGTGATGGGGGCGGAGCCGTCGGAGGTGATGCTGCTGGGGAAGAAGTCTCCTCCAAAGCCGCCGTAGAAGATGCCCTCGGAGATAATGATGCTGAAGTCACAGAGAAGATCTGTACTTAGTCAATTTTTGAAAAATCTTTGTAATGAACCTTTGTCACCCCTCGGCTTTGGCCCGTATGTAACAGTTACACTGACTTTCCTTTTGATGATTGATGGATGAATGTTAGCCTTCAGGCTTTTGTATATGAATGTGTTGTCCTTCTTTTCTTTTGAATGTATGCCTTCTCCTTCATGCTTTCCTCGCGTTTGAATGTATGGTGGTTGAGTGACGGCCGAAGGCCGTGTTATTAGGACTTAGAATTTTTTTTGTAAGTGTAGTGCATCATGTAGCCTTCGGTTATTGTGGCCCCCCAGTTGAATGAGGGTCAGGCCGGGGGCCCGATCTGTAGAACTTAGAAAAATTCCTAAGTGCAGCTTTTCCACTGGAAGTCTTCGGGTAATAGCCTCCTTCTTGATGCATGAATATTTAACCGGGGGCCAATCATGTAGGACTTAGGAAATTTTCCTAAGTATTTTGAATACCATCTGTCCTTCTGTGCAGGGAGCCCTAAGGATAGTAGTGGCCTTAGGTTGAATCCCTCGATGGCCTCCTGCTCTGTGAAATTAGGATAACCTCCCTTGGTTCGATTTGGTGTAGGGGCCTTCGGCGATTATTGGAGTATGAGCCTTCGGCTCTCACTAGATTTCCTGGATGTGGACTTAGGAAAAATTTGTGATTCACCGAATATGTTGAAAAAGACACATGCCCTCGGGCAATGCTCGACTCCATTCGGTCTTCCTTGAAATGTCGTTGAGTGGACTCTAGCCAATGTGTTCCCTTCGTATTGTTGGAGCCTTCGTTGTTTGGTGTGACCGGAGGTAACCAAGGAGTGGACTTAGCCGTTTCTTGATGATATTTGTTGAGTAGTATTCTTTGGGAAATAGGAGCCCCCAGTTGCCGGAGGTGTTCCCGTGGGGAGCCCTCGGTATGATGTGATCTGTTGGAGTGTTGTACTCTTTGATTTCTCGCTGAGTCTACTCCCCTTCACCCCCCTTCCCCCCCCTTTTTTTTGGGGTGGTGGTGGTGAAGGGAAGGCATCAAGAAACTTGGTTTCTTGGTAAGGCTGGGCCTGTCAGGAGACCATCAGAATACACCAATGGCTCTCCTCCCTCGGGTTAACCTTCCGAGTTCCGAGGGGATCGATGGTCGTTTCCTGGGCACAAGATATGGTGGTCGGTAACCTGCCTCCCCTTGGGGGATGGCGCGAAAAGCGCCTCAGTTTTGAAAGTTGTCCCCTCGGCGCTAGACATAGTCCGTGGCCTGCCACACCCTTGGGGTGGTGGCGCGGGGAGCGTTTCGGTTTGGAAGTCGAATCCTGGGCATTTCTCGTGCCTGTCATACCCTTGGGGTGATGACGCGGAAAGCGTTCCGTTTTTGAAAGTCGAATCCTGGGCATTTCTTATGTCTGTCATACCCTGGGGGTAGTGACGCGGAAAGCGTTTCAAGGAAGGGTTTTCATTTGCAAACCAATTGCAAATGGCCGGGGGCACTTAGTGCCGCCGGCACCGATGGTGGCGCCTTCGGTATATGCGTCCTCGTGGGGTACGGCTTTAGAAACAACACTTGGTGTTAGCTTCGATATATAGCCCCCGGTACTTGGTACCGAGGGGTCTTCTGTAGGAACACTTGGTGTTCTCCTTTGTTGTAGTTGATGGAGGTGTCTACCCTTGGTACTTGGTACCGAAGGGTCTTCAAATGAAACACTTGGTGTTTTGATTGGAGTGTTCGCTCTCGGCGTTTGGTGCCGATGGGCCTTCGGAGGAAACACTTGGTGTTTCCCAACAGATGTTTGGAAGTTGATAGGAGAGCATATCCCTGGCACTGGGTGCCGAGGGGTCTTCTTTGAAACATTTGGTGTTTTTCTTCGTTTTGATGTTGATGATGGAGGTGTACACTCGGCACTGGGTGCCGAAGGGAAATGAAACACTTGGTGTTTCTTGTCGTCGGTGTTGGGAGTTCCCACCCTCGGTACTTGGTACCGAGGGGTCTTGTTCGAAAACACATGGTGTTTTCACTGTTGTTGTAGGTGTTGATGGTGTCCGCCCTCGGCACTTGGTGCCGGAGGGGGTTCTTCTCGTGGTGAGGCCTAGGGCCTGTAGTCAGTATGAGGGCTTGGTGTCTTGAATGTGTCTTCATTCCTCAAAAGTGGAGACCTTGGGCCATAGGATAGTACATTCACTAGTTATGAGGGCTTGGCCGCTCTTACATTATTGTTAAAATTTAACTAAATGGTGTACATTCCAGTGCCTAGGGACCTTTTTCCCGTTGGGGCGTTTGAGCTTGTAAGTCCCAGGTTTGATGATGGCTGCTATGATGTAGGGGCCTTCGAATTTTGGTGCCATTTTTCCTCCCTCGGTTGGTTGGCTGGCTTCCCTCCTCCGGAGGACATAGTCCCCCACTTGAAATTCTCGAGTGCGAACTTTGGCGTCGATGTAGCCTTTGACTTGCCTTCGGTAGTTTTCTGCCCGGATGAAGGCTTGCTCCCGGCGTTCTGAAAGGAGGTGGAGGTCGAGGGCCATGTTGCTGTCGTTGACCTCAGGGTCATATTGGATCACCCTCCGGGTGGGAAGGGTGACTTCCGTAGGAGCTTTGGCTTCAAAACCGTAGCAGAGGGAGAAGGGTGTTTCACCTGTTGCTCACCGAGGGGTGGTGCGGTAGGCCCAAAGGATGTTGTGGAGTTCTTCCACCCAGCCACCGCCCTCAGCCTCCAGCTTCTTTTTGAGGCCCTCGAGCAAGGTCCGGTTGGCATTCTCTACTTGCCCGTTGCCTTGAGGGTAGGCAACGGAGGAGAAGGTGTGTTTGATGCCCCATGCCTCCAGAAGGGCACAGAAGGGGGCTACCTCAAATTGTGTTCCATTGTCGGAGATGATCTGCTGGGGGACGCCAAACCTTGTGAGGATGTTCTTGAGGACGAAGTGACGGCACTTCGCCTCTGTGATACTGGCGAGGGGCTCAGCCTCCACCCACTTGGTAAAGTAGTCGATGGCCACAATGATGTATCTGTTGTTGGAGGTACCCCTCGGCAGAGGGCCCACAAGGTCTATCCCCCATCGAGAAAAGGGGACGGATGTGCTGATGGGGGCATAGTTGACCGCTGGCCTGCCGGGGGCTTTCTGGAAATGTTGACATGTAGTGCACCTTCGGGACATGGAGAAGGGTCCCTGGTGAGCTGAGCAAGTGCCACTGTGCACCTCCTCCATTGCGACCTCGGTTTCATCCTGATGAAGGCACCGAAGTAGCGTGCCGTTGTAAGCCCGTTTGTAGAGCCTTCCGTCTTCGATGGTATAGCTAGGAGCCCTCAGTCTTGCTAGTTTAGCGCGGGTCTCGTTCTCGGGTAGCTGCCCTGTAGAGATGAAGGTGATGATATCCGAGATCCAGTCCTTTTGGCGTTATTGTATGTTCATGACGGGGCTCGCATGGATGCTTGAGAGACTGAGTTCCTCAATTTTAGCAATCTTAGAGATGTGCTCGGGGGAGTCGGCCGAGAGCTTAGATAGTATGTCGGCCTCGGAGTTCTGAGCCCTCGGTATTTGAGTGAGAGAATGTGCCTCAAATACCTTAAGCAACTCCTTGGCCGCTTCCTTGTACTGTTTATTCTTCCCTCCTTGGCCTCATATTCCTCGGAGATTTGGCCAACGACCAACTTGGAGTCGCATTTGATGTGGATCTGCCAAGCCTTCATGTTGGCAGCCAGCCGAAGGCCACATAGGAGGGCCTCATACTCGGCCTCGTTGTTGGAGACTCTGAAAGAGAAGCGGATTGCATAATAGGCTCTGAAGCCCTCGGGAGTAATGAGGACTACCCCTCCCCCGCATGCTTTGGTCGCGGAGGAGCCGTCGGTGTAGAGGGTCCACCAGTCGTCCGAGGTAGCCGAGGGCTCCCCGTCCGTGGCCGCCCTTGCGGTACACTCCGTCACAAAGTCCGCCAGGGCTTGGCCCTTGATGGCAGGCCTCGGACGGATGTCAATGTTATACTGGCTCAAGAAGATAGCCCATTTCACCATGCGGGAGGAGCTGGTGGGGCTCCTCATGAGGGCGCCGAGGGGTTGATGAGTGAGGACCTGGACCGGGTGAGCCTGAAAGTAATGGCCCAACTTCTTGACGGTCCAAACGATGGCTAACACCGTTTTCTCCATAGGAGAGTACCTGAGCTCGGCCTCCCTTAGGGTCTTGCTTACATAGAAGATGGCATGTTGGATGTCGTCTTCCTCCCGGACGAGCACGGAGCTGATGGCCGTCGGGCTGACCCCAAGGTAGAGATAGAGGGTCTCCCCTACCTTTGACTTTGAGAGCACAGGGGGTGAAGATAGATACCGTTTGAGTTCGTCGAAAGCCCCCTGGCATTCTGGAGTCCATAGAAAGCCATCTGTCTTCCTCATGATCTGGAAGAAGGGTAGAGACTTCTCCGCTGATTTAGATAGAAAGCGGTTGAGGGCTGCCAGGCGGCCCGTCAACCGTTGAACTTCCTTCACATTGCGTGGGGGCTCCATGTTGATGATGGCCTGGATCTTCTCGGGGTTGGCCTCAATACCCCTACGGCTCACCATGTAGCCTAAGAATTTGCCCCCTTGGACGCCGAAGGTGCACTTCTTCGGGTTTAGCCGAAGGTTGAACTTATGCATGATGGCGAAGATTTCCCGGAGGTCGTCAGCATGGCTGGAAGATTGCTTGCTCTTGACGATCATGTCGTCAACATAGGCCTCCATGGTGCGCCCTAGGACGGCTTGAAAGACCCGGGCCACCATCCGGGTGTAGGTGGCCCCCGAGTTCTTTAGGCCGAAGGCCATTACTAGGTAGCAGAAGATGCCCTCAGGAGTCATGAAGGCAGTTTTTTCGGCGTCTTCCTCGTGCATGAAAATTTGGTGATACCCTCGGAAGGCATCGAGGAAGGACATGATCTCACACCCTGCGGTCTCATCCACCAGTTGATCAATATTTGGTAGGGGGAATGGATCCATAGGGCACGCTTTGTTGAGATCGGTGTAGTCCACGCACATGCGGAAGGTAGGAGGCTTCTGTGCGAGGACTACGTTCGCCAGCCATGAGGGATATTTCACCTCCTTAATGTGCTTAATAGAGAGGAGCATGGTGACCTCCTTCTTCACAAATTCCCTCCTTTCGGCGGAGAGGGGTCTTCTTCGTTGTTGTACCGCCTTTGCCGAGGGGTCCACCGAGAGGCGGT